GACTCAGACTTTAAGGTCAGAAGGGACCATTATGATCATCTGGTCTGACCCCCTGCATGCTGCAGGCCACAAAACCATCCCTACCCTTCCCTTGACTCTGCTGATGAAGTCCCAAATCCTTCCCTGAGAAATAGCCCACCCTCTGACTCCACCACCTCAACCAAGCTTCACAATCATCACTGCCATTTAGCTTAAAGTAGCATTTTTCAGGAACATAACTACAACATTAAACGAGGTGTTACTGTACACCCCAATAAGATCATTGTACATAAATACCTCTGTCTGATTTTGAACAGCCTTATCAATGTCATGTCATCTGAATACTGAATTGCATCTAGGAGATCACATGCTGCCTTCCCTAAGTTAAAACAAAATCAAGCTGCATGCATATCTAAAGTAAGTGTATTGTAGATTACATCTCTTTTTGGACCTGTAAGATTTACTATTACTGTGTAATAGTTCTCACTTACCATAAAAGGATTACTAGATACTCCAACAGCAGCAACTTGTCCAAAGGGGGTTACTACAGGCTTTGCCTGTCCAAATGCAGCAAAACCTGCACCTTGTCAAGATAAAAAATGTTAGAAGTAGCTTCATACTGGTGGCCAAGCCTTTAAAGGCAGAAGACTATTCCCTATAAGCCCACTCCCACCACAGTGACGCAAGTTAAACCTTTTAGGGCATTGGTAATTTGTCCATCAAGGCAGCAGGACTGGGTCAAATCCGGTCCATAATTTAGCCTCTCTAAATATGCATTTATGCAAAACTTCAAAACAAATTAAAAAAAACTATGAATTTTCTTTCAATTCCTATGGAAATATGTTTTTAGAAGAATTCCCATGACTGTTTCTAAGCCAAAATGCTACGGATGTTGTTCTAGTACATGACACTTTAGTAAGTTTCTAATCAATTTAACGTAATCAGAGTGAACATGGAAGTGAAACAATTTATCATCATCATCATCTAAGGTAAGTAAAATGCCAAACACACTAACAATACAAGTTCAAATTAAAATTTTCAGCTGTAAAAATTACTTCGAACTATTGAGATTCAAAAAATTAAAGCTTTGTAAACCCTTAAAACTCTTGTCAATACAACAAAAATATACAAATGAAATATGCTTAAAACAAATCATAACTGTTTTCACGATTCATGTTAGTCCACTTGTAACAAACCTAATTCAAAAGTCTTAAATCACTGGGTTTTAACTCAAATAAATTCTCAAGCAGCAATTTTCTTATTTTGCCTATCTGTAAATTTCTATCGTTGATTGAAATCTCTGTTCGGTTTGTGTACACACAGTGAAAACAATGTTTATCAACATTTACCAATAAAAACTTAATCCTTCCAAGCATAGCTATAAGCCAAGCCTATTAATGGTTTTCCAGGAAGAAATCAGGCCAAATCATTGTGATTTTCTACTACACATTTCGTACAAGGTAACAGCACAGTAAATTACAGCATCTTTTAAAGTGTTCAGAATCCAAATACTCTGCCTCCCTAAAGCCGATACCAACAAATATTATTGAACCAATACCACCAGAGATACAGCTTTATAATATTAGTTACAGTTACAAGTGCATTAATTGGTGTTAATATAAAAAGTTAAATAGGAAAACAAAGTGGCTACTTTTGTGTTACAGAAAAAAGGAAGCAAGAGTTGGGTGGTTATTTCTAAAGGTTCCACAGTCATTCCTTCCTGATTATATTCCAGTGCACAGTTTTCTTTTTGGACCTTTTCCTGCATGTAAAAATTCATAAAAAAATAATTTAGGCTATTTTCTTTGATTCTCTCTAGCCCTCTCCCCTTTTTAAGGTTTGAGGAAAATATGTTATAATAGGTTCCAGACACATACAGGAGTGAAAAACAGTCTTCTTCCCTGCACAAAAGTTTCAGTAAAAAAATCCAACTAAAAAGTCTCACTGTCATTTTGTTTCAGAGATAGAGATCATACTTATAGCAATAAAACTGGACACATTTGACAAAGATTATACCATGCTATAAAAGACAATGCCGAAACCAAGTTCTTTAGTCATGCAATTATATACAGTTGCAAGATCATCCCAAAAGATCCAAGATAAGGAAAATGTACATTAGAAGTTAAGTATCAGCTTGGATTGCTAAAAGGTAGTTAGAGTATTTCATAGGCCTGGTCTACACTACGAGTTTAGGTCGAATTTAGCAGCGTTAAATCTAATTAAG